TGGATAAATGTATATTAAAGTTTTTTTTCTATTTTTAAATTGTGTTGTTTGTTTTTTCATTATTGAGTTGTATGAGCTCTTTACACATTCTAAATATCAAATCTTTATCTGATACGTGATGTGCAAATATATTTCCCAACCTGTCAGTTGTCTTCTTACTTTCTTGATGTTTTTGATGTTCAAAGTGTTTTTATTTTGTTGAAGTTGTATTATCTCATTTTTTTTCTTGCTTCAGCTCTTAGTGTCATATTTAAAACCTATAGTTATATCTAAAGTCATGAAAATTTAGCCCTATGTTTTCCTTTAAAAATTTATGGGTTAGCTCTTGTATTAGGTCACTGATCTATTTTGAGTTCCCTTTTTGTATATAATGGGAAGTGAGGATACAACCTTAATTTCTATGTATGAAAATCGAATTGTCTCATATCATTTGTTGAAAGGCTGTTCTTTCCACATTCAGTGGACTTGGTGTCCCTGCAAAAATCAATTGGCTGCATATATATATGGATACATTTCTGAACTCTCAATTCCGTTCCATTGATTGATTAGTCTATCTTTTTTAACTTGTTTTTTTTTTTTTTTTTTAATTCAAGTTAGTTAACATACAGTGTAGTATTGGTTTCTGGAGTAGAACCCGGTGATTCATTGCTTATTTCAGTACCACGCTGCTTTATGACTATAAATTTGCAGCTTGTTTTAAAATCAAGAGATGTGATTTCTCTGACTTTGTTTTCCATGATTGCTTTGGCAATTTTGAGCCCTTTCCAATTCCATATGAATTTCAAGATTGCTGGTGTAGTCTTGACCATAAAGACTACTAGAATTTTTTTAATTTTTATTAATGTTTTATTTATTTTTGAGAGAGAGATAGAGACAGTGTGAGCAGGGGAGGGTCATAGAGAGAGGGTGTCACAGAATCCAAAGACAGGCTCCAAGCTCTCAGCTAGCTGTCAGCACAGAGCCCCGCACGGGGCTCAAATCCAGGAACCGTGAGATCATGACCTAAGCCGAGGTCGGACACTTAGCCAACTGAGCCACCCAGGCACCCCAAGACTACTAGAATTTTGAAAGGAATTATATTTAATTTCTGGTTCACATTGGGTCACACTGACATCATAAACTGAATCTAAAGTTTCCTTCCCATGAACGTGGGATGTTTTTCAACTTATTCAGGTCTTGTTGAATTTCTTTCTTCCTTATTTTATAGTTACTTCAACTGCACAGACACCCAACAAGCACCTGCACCTAGGATCCTGGAGCCACCATTGCCACAGGAGTGCCCACACATGGGCCCCCAGATCTTTGTTTGTGCCTCCCTCATACACCAGCTGCAAGGCTGTTCTGTGAGCACCCATACCTAAAACATTAGCACTCTCTGCACCCAAAGGTCCATCAAGTGATGAGTGAATAAACGAAGTGTGGTTTATGCTTGCAGAGGAGTATTTCTAGGCAACAAGAAGGAATGAAATACTGGCACCTGCTACAATATGAATAAATTTCAAAACCATTATGACAAGAGGAAGAGGTCTGTCAAAAGTGATCACATTATTACATAAGGGAGGATGGGAATATATAGACTAAGCTAATCTCTAAAGATAGAAAGTAAATTGATAGTTGACTAGAGCCAGAAGGAAGAGGTTGCATGGCAATGGACATAGACTGCTAGCTGGGTATGTAGTTTCTTTCTGAGGTGATGGAAGTCTTCAACAATTCATTAGGATGATGATTGGACAAACTTGTAAGTATACTAAACTCCTGTGCATTGTATACTTTGGTGAGTTTGTGGTATACAAATTGCATTTCAATAAAGAACTTTACAACAAGAAACCTACCACTGATACAGGCAAGAAAACGCATGCGTCTTAATTGCATTATACTAAGTGAAAGAGGCCTGACTCAAGAGGTTGCATATTGCATCATTCCATTTATATGATAATCTGAAAAACAAAACTATATGGGGATCAGCAAACCAGAGGTTATGATGGTCTAGGGGACGGGGGGGGGTGGTTAACTACAAAGGAAGTAGGAGACATTTTCAGGTGGGTGGGGCTTTGCTCTATGCTGATCTGAGTGGTGTATTGTATACATTTATCCAAACTCTCAGGAACGAACATACTGACATGTATTAACTTTATTTTATACAACTTACATCTTTCAAAAATGAAAAGTGAAGAAATGACAACATGAGCCAAAGGTATCTGTGTGCTCATTTAACAACTCAAGCAAAGTGCCTAGATGCAGTTAAATTGTTTCTTCTGTAGATAGGTTGGATGAGGGCCTCTGGATGTCCCCAAAGGGGTCCTGTCCCTCTGAGAACTGTGTCTCTAAAATTCTGTACTCATTCTCATTCATTAGCCTCTGAAATCCCAACATGGTCCCGCGTGATATCATTGCAGAGGGATCAGACTGTGTGCAGAGCCCCTTAGTTCATTAATTTGCAATTAGGAATAATCTAATATGTGCAATACCAGAATATAGAAAACAAAAACACCAATGAAAAGAATCAAGTAGGGGTGCCCGGTTGGCTCAGTCGGTTAAGCGTACGACTTTGGCTCAGGTCAGGGTCAGGTCATGATCAGGTCATGATCTCGTGGTTTGCGGGCTCTGTGCTGACAGCTCACAGGCTGGAGCCTGCTTCAGATTCTGTGTCTCCCTCTCTCTCTGTCCCTCCCCTGCTCATGGTCTGTCTCTCTGTCTCTCAAAAATAAATAAACATTAAAAGAATTTTTTAAAAAGAATCCAGTAAAGGCTATACTGGAGGAGAGACAGATCATGTTCATGGGTTAGGAGACTTTAACATACCAATTTTCTCATCTTGATTTACAGACAGATTCAACTTAATCAATCTTCCTCAATCAAAATGTGAGGAAGAATTTTGGAAATATTGGTAAACTGACTGAAAAATTTGTATGAAGAGGTAAATCTACTAGAATACTTAACGTAGTATTTAAAAAATATAAATAATAAATAAAGTGGAAATATGCTCATTGCCTGACTTCATGACTTATTCTAAAGCTCTACTAATTGAGAAAGTGTATATACTTTGTGTGTGATTTAGTAGGTAGAATTAATTTCATGTCTTCTTTGCCACTTAATGAGATAATTTTAATTTAAAATATGTTATATATATTATCCATTAGACAATGTAGTTTTCAAAACATCAATTTTTCCAAAAGTGGGGAATATAAGCAATGAGTGAGAAAATAGAAGAAAAACTAGTTGTGTCTTTTTTAAAAAAATTTAATCCTTATTTTTGAAATAGGAGAGTGAGAGACAGAGCATGAGCAGAAGAGGGATGCAGGGCTCGAACCCATGAATCGTGACATCATGACCAGAGTCAAAGTGAGACACTTAACCAACTGAGCCGCCCAGGTGCCCCAAAACTAGTTGTGTCTTATAGAAAGTTCCAAAATTCTTTTCTGAAGAATTATGTAATAGATAATGAGCTAAATTATCAGTGGTCCAAACATGTTAACAGTTGGACTCAGAGTTTAATTAATTTATTGGATAATTTAACAAATGCTTACTGAGGAATTAGTGTGAAACAGGCTATATGTTATGTTGGAGATGAAATTGTTAGTAGAGAAGACAAAGGTACTCTTCTTGTGCAGTGTACATTCTAGGTAGAAAGGTAAGTGAATAAATAAAGGGACAAATACATAAATAGAAATAGTTGAGTACTGATCAGAACTATGATGAATTAAGTAAGTTGGGAACAGTATCCATAGGGGGTGGGGTGACTATGATACAGTAAAATTTAAGGAAAGACCTCAGGGAAGTGAGGGAGCTTTCTAAGCATTGGCAACAGCAGGTACAAAGGCCCTGAGGCAGGATTGAGCTTGGATTGTCCTGGGACAGCAGGGAGCTCAGTGTGAGGGAAGAGGAAAGAGGAATCAGGAGAGTGGCAGGACATGACATAGCTCATGTGAAACTAAAGTATCCTTGCGTGAGGGACACTAGCCATTTCATAGTATTTCCAGAGAGAAAAATAGCTAACGTTATCATTACTCAGTGCATTTATCTTACACAGTTGGGGAGTTGGTATTCCTACAGAAAAATGGAGAAACTGCTATATTTAATCAATTGATCCCCTTTTCTGATACTCTGGTCTTCCTGCTTTTGAAAGTTATCATGTGACCATTCTTCTACCAAATGACTTTCTGAAGACATAAAGATGAACTCCTTCAAGATTTTACACATATGTGATTCTGAAAAAAACATGTTCTAACAAAAAAAGCACAGACTTCTTTAAAAAATCCATGTCAGGTTTTCTTCCTTCATTTTGGATTCTTATAATAGTTTTTTAAACTAGAAAAAAATTTATTAAATTAAATTTATTTATTTATTTATTTATTTATTTATTTATTTATTTTAATAGTTTATTGTCAAGTTGGCTTCCATAAGAGGGGAAATTTGTCAAAAGAGGTAGCTGGAGTATGGCTAGTTTTTAATAAGAAAGTTAAAAATAATTAATTGTGAATCAGAGTACAAATTAATGTCTAGCATTTAAAATTTTTTTCTATGAGCACTGGGTGTTAGAAAAAAATTTTAAATGCTAGACATTAATTTGTACTCTGATTCACAATTAATTATTTTTAACTTTCTTATTAAAAACTAGCCATACTCCAGCTACCTCTTTTGACAAATTTCCCCTCTTGAGTGTATGTGCACACCAGGGACCCTTGCATGCACTTCTCTTCATGGGTTTGGGCTGAGTTTCACAAATATACTTGCATTGGCATACGGTGGGAAAAATGTGAACATATGAATAAATCACATATAATTAATAAGCCTCATGATAAGAGTGATGTAAACATTTTAAGGTCCTCATGGCTATTTCCATCCAGATATTACACAACTGGATCATCTTCTTTTTCATCTTTTTTAGTGACGGGCTTTTGAAGAGGAAAGTATCACAGCAGTAATTTAACTGCAATGTAGGCTGTAAACAGCAAGTTACCCAACCAGAATGAAGGTGGGTCATTGTGGATCCTACAACCCTAAGAGGTGAAGCTTAGAGACAGTTTTGCTTTCTCAACAACCTTCTTGAAAGCATTCTTGACCTCTTTGTTCCTCAGGCTGTAGACCACAGGGTTTAGCACAGGGATGACCATAGTATAGAACACAGATACAATTTTGTCTGTGTCCATGGAATGGCTGGAGGTGGGCTGGGAGTACATGAAGATGACTGTCCCATAGAAGATGGAGACTGCAATGAGGTGAGAAGCACAGGTGGATATAGCTTTCAGGTATCCCTCTATTGAAGGCATCTTCAGGATGGTGATAAATATGAACAGGTAGGAAATCAAAATAACCAAAAGACCAAAAAAGATGTGGAAGCTTGCTACAAAAACAAGAACCAGCTCACTGACATGTCTATCAGAACAAGAGAGACAAAACTGCAGGAATATCACAGAAAAAGTGATGGATCACATTGGACTTACAGAAGGAGAGATGGAATGTGTTTCCAACATCCACAGAAGCATTCAGAAAACCAAAAACATAGGAGCCTATAGCCAAACGAGCACACACACCTGTCGTCATGGTGGTGGTGTAATGGAGGGGTCTGCACACCGCTGCGTAGCGATCATAGGCCACTGAGGCCAACAGGTAACTCTCCACTGTGGCAAGGACCGCAAAAAAGAACATCTGAGCAGCACACGCATTGTAGGAGATGACCTTGTCTTCTATAAGTAATCCAGCCATGACCTTGGGAGTGACAGCTGTAGAGTAACCAAAGTCCACCAGAGACAGGTTACTGAGGAAAAAGTACATGGGAGTGTGGAGACAGGAGTCCAAGAGAATCAACACCATCATCCCCAGGTTCCCAACCACATTGATGAGGTAGAGGAGGGTGAACATGACAAAGAGGGGGATCTGCAGCTCTGGGGCATTGGTTAGTCCCAGCAGGATGAATTCAGTCACTTCTGTGTTGTTCTCCATGGTGTTCTTTGGGAATCACAAGATGCCCTGTAGTGATGAGAAATAAAGAAACAAAGTCATAAACGAATGAGAGATTGAAGTGAAATTCATTCAATATTGCTTGTGTATACACACACACACACACACATTTGTACACAATATTTCATTATAGCAAGAATTTGTGTTGTACAATTCCCCAGATCTAAAGTATGGGCTAGACACTAAAAGTTAAAGCACAAATTATCTGTAGAGTTTGACACTGTTAAAGCTGAAAGATCTTCATGGATTATTTTCCAACTCTTCAATTTTGTGAATTTGTAAACAGTGGTGTAGAAAATGTAATATCTTGATTATGATGAATCATCTTGAATGAATCCATATGTCAATTCAGTTTTTCTGAGCCTAGTAAATGCTCATATCTATGGTTCTTATGTGTCAGACACAGCTCTAGACACTTTTTATGAATATTCATTTATTATTCTCAACTAATCTATGAGATTGATTACTTGTTATCCCCATTTAACGTATGAAGCACAGAGCTTGAGTAATGTATTTTTAAGTTTGCAAAATTATTTTCACCAAAGCCAAACTTTGTGCTCAGGCAGAGTGAGTACCAAGTCTGCTGGTCTCACCTGAATTTAAATCACATTGAATTTAACTCGGTTCATGATCACTCTATCTCCAGTGTCATGAACTCAGTGCTTGGGGTTTCACAGTGAAGTAATCGAGAGACATGTGCATGGTGCATGTGGTATAATAACTGTAGCAGTAGGGGATTGGACAATCAGCAGAGACAGTCTGGGGAGGGCATGGCATTGAGTATAAAACTTGGGCTCTGGGACCAGGCTCATGTCAGTCTTAGCATTCACTACTGAGGAGTCTTTGGTCCTAACCTAACTCCCTGTTTTTCTTCATCTACAAAATGAAAATAATAACGAGACTTCACTCAAGGTGTTATTGTAAGAATATTGTAAGAATTAAATGAGATAGTATATAATATATAAAAATCAAAATAAACAAAATGCAGAGTATTTAGTACAACCTGATTAGTGTAAGGTATGGTCTTATTAGTAGGATGGAATGATAGCCTCTATGTTGGCTTAAAAAAGGTCAGGAGTGACATACAAACTCAGTGTGGATGAGTGTTTAGTCTGCTGGTGTCCCTCTTCAATATGCTTTATATCACACACTTGGTTGCTCTACTGGAATCTTCTGTGTCCTCAGTGTTTCTCAGTCTGTTCTTCCTCTGCCTACATGAGTGGCTGTTTCATCTGCTGCATGGCTGCCACTCTTTTGCTTAATTTCTTTCTTAAAATCCATGTTTTAGTTTGTGTTGAAAGTGTCCCCTTAAACTCATTCTTTCTTTCATTATGGTTATCCCACAGTTGAATCACAGGGATCAATGGGTGGATGTTCCTAATTTGTTGGTCTTTAGCCTGAAGATCTGTGTTTTGGCCAATTTCATGTTTTCAAACTGTTTACTTGAGTGTCATCTTGTGTAGGAATCATATTTTTAATCTTTTCAATGGACTTGGAAGCCTTTAGAAGGACATTTGTCCCTTGCTAATCGCTAGATCACTGATGCCCTCCTTAATTCTTTTAACAGATAGTGAATAAGATGAAATTAACACCTACTCAATCAGAGCATCATATATCCATCTATTTTTAAATAAGGTTTTTTAATGTTTTATTTGTTTTTTGAGACAGAGAGAGACAGAGCATGAGTATGGGGGACAAAGGGGGGGGGGGGACACAGAATCTGAAGCAGGCTCCAGGCTTCAAGCTGTCAGCACTGAGCCTGATGCGGGGCTTGAACCCACAAACCATGAGATCATGACCTGAGCCAAAGTAGGACACTTAACCAACTGAGCCACCCAGGTGCCTCTATTTTTCAAATAGGAAGAGCAGCATGATAATGTTTCACAATGATCAGTAAACTACTTACTGATGGAAATTTTGATGCATGTGTCTAGCCTCATATCACTGCTTTAGAAATTTATTTCTGTATTTAAATAATTCATAGTATGTATAGATGCGCCATTGGTTTTGCTTGAATTACATTTCTCACTAAAAGTGTATGTAGAACATAGAAGCTTACCTTGCTGCTGGAAAAGAAGGAACAGTCAATCCTGAAGAGTTAGATTGGAATCAGAAATTCAGCCACGGGATGATGTATACATACTGTGAGAGATAGTTTTTATCAGGTGCTGATCAAATAGTTCCAAGATGTTTAATATAAATAAAGATGAAGGGAAGAATGCAACATGTAGCCAGGAACTTATGTTGAATAGCTGAATCCCCCATGCAATCTTTGTGTACCTTTGGAGGGCTCTCTCTTGTCTTCTTATCTCTAAAATGAAGCAGAAAATTACTTCTCCCACATAATATAAGAAATTCTTCTGTGAATGGCAAATGAGGGAGGCTCTCTAATATACCTGTCAGAGGGGTTATCTTTCTAAAGTCAATGAATATAATTTTCATCTTGAGGTGTTTTCCCTGGCCATCACTGGAAGTTCATGACAAATCCTCAGGTGAGGATTTGGGGGTGGGAAGAAAGTGCTGCATGTCCTAATGACTACTAACATTCAAATGAATATATGATGGCCAAAGGGGCTCAGCATATGTCGGGTCCTTTTAAAATGAGATCATATTGAGACATGCTGGGAGTTTTAAAGGCTATTTCATAGCGATCAGGAACCAGTTACAGAGATGTAAAGTCTCTGGGGATGTCCCTCAGGAGGGCATCTGTAGCTCTTATCTCAGTTTCCTAGGAAAGTATCAGTTAATTTTCCTATGGGGACTTGGTTGGATATGTTGAGGGTGCACACATGTTTTTGTATTACTTGTTTTGTTTTACTCCCTGCTTTCTAATTAACATGTAATTTACAAACAGTAACATTTATAGTTTTCAATACTGTAGTTTGAACAACTGTTGAAACTGGGTCAAATTTATCTGGTCACATCACTGCCAACACAATCACGACATAGAAGAGTTCCGTCATCTAAACAAAATCTCTGAGCTTCTTTGCCATCAACCCTTTTCCTACCCTATGGTGACCACTAGACCATTTTCTGTCCATATTGTTTTGCCTTTGTAGGGGGGTCATTTAAAGCGAATCATTTAAACATGTACTAGGATTTAAAGTGAATCTTAGTACATGTAACCTCTGACTCTGGCTTCTTCCAGTTAGCGTGGTGCATTTGAGACCCATCCATAATGGTAGCTATGTTAATCTCCTAGAGCTGCCCTAAAAAGGTACCACAAGCTGGATGTCCTATATAACAGAAATTTATTTATCTCACGTTTCTGGAGGCTAGAAATCTGAGATCAAGCTGCCAGTAATGCGGTTCTGTTGGTTCTCTCTGAAAGCTGTAAGGGAGTATCTGTTTCATAGCTTTCTTTTCGCTGCTGGGTGGTTTGCTGGCCATCTTTGGTACTCTTTGTCTTCTGCTATCACTTCCCATTCTCTGTGTTCACATGATGTGTCCCTCTTCACATAGTGTTGTCCTTGTGTGTATGTCTCTCCAAGTTGTCCCTTTTTATAAAGACACCAGTCATATTGACTTAGAAGCCCATTCTGCTCCAGTAGGTCCTTATCTTAATAATTACATCTGTAATGACCCTGTTTTTGACCAAGATCATCTTTCGAGGTAATGGGGGTTAGGACTTCAACATATAAAATTTAGAGACACAATTCAGCCCATAACATAGCAGCAGTAAAATTTGTTTCATTACTGGTTTTATTCCATTATATGGACACTACAGGTTGTTTATGCATTTCCTAGTTGGGGGACACCTGTGTCCCATCTAGTGTCTCAGAATTAAGAATAAAGTGTATCTAAACTTTTGCTTATTTTTTTTGAACTAGATTTTTTTAAAAAAAATAGTTTATTGTTAAGTTGGTTTCCATATAACACCCAGTTCTCATAGTGGGTAATTATCTCTGAGTTGGGTTGCTGGGTCAGATGGTAAGTATATTTTTAACTAAGTGGAAACTGTCTAACTGTGTTTTTGAGCGACCACATGGAGAGGCCCTGCCCTTTCCCAGACAACCTGTGTTATGAACTTGCACTATCATATGTGAGAAGCAAATCTGTAATACACTGAATTATCACCCCCAAATGTCAGATCTTGTCAACTGGAATGTGTTATGCTTTCCATATAACAAAGACTTTGCAATTATGGTTAACTTAAGGGCATAAACTTGGGATATAATCATGGTTAACTTTTGGACCCTAAAGGCAATACTAGTGTCTTTATAAGAGAAAGGCACAAAAATGGAAGTCTAAGGATTTGAAGGGCCTGTAACTCCATAGAAACACTAACAAAACAAACAAAAAACAAAAAATGAGCCAAACTATCAGAATAAACTTGGTTTGAGGTATATGGAAAATGCCAAAAGGTATAACAACCAGATAAATGTCAAATCATGAAAATGACTAAGCTATAGTGTTTATGGAAATTACGTCAAACAGGTAAGTGACTTCCAGTTACCACAACAGAGGCATGAGACACCACACACAAACCATCAGTCAAAAATAATAGTTTAGAAAGCTAATGAAACAAACAAATACAACCCACAATAAGTAAAATAACAATAATAACAAAAACCTGAGTTGGAAGAATCTGAATTCCCAAGGTTAGCACACTATATATGCACAGTATTCCATTTTCAACAAAAACTGAGACATGAAGAGAAACAAGAAAGTACGTCCCATCCATGGGGGAAAAAAAGAAATTAAAAGAAAACTTCCTGAAGAGGCATAGACATTGCACTTATTGGACACAGTAAAAATTGTACTGGACACAGATTTTTATTTATTTATTTATTTAATTTTTAAAGTTAATTTATTTTTTTAATTTACATCCAAGTTAGTTAGCATATAGTGCTACAATGATTTTAGGAGTAGATTCCTTAATGTTCTTACTCATTTAGCCCATCTCCCCTCCCACAACCCCTCAAGTAACCCTCTGTTTGTTCTCCATATTTAAGTCTCTTATGTTTTTCCCCTCCCTGTTT